GTACTGTCACAAGCAATAAAACGCACAAATGCTTTTTTTTTTTCAGTTGAATAAAAACAAAATAAATCCGCGTCGGAAATTTTTACCTAAAAATTGTCATTTATTATATTTTTTTAAGTTGAATTGTTTTGGAAGGGAGCTGAGAATTGTTAGTGCTTGTGAGGGATTTAAGTGCAGCCTGTTTGTTGGGGAGGAAGTCTATTGTTCTCCATGTGATTTGGCCCCTCAGAGAAGCGTACAAAAGGATTTTTTCTCCTGAGCGCACAGACCTCTGCGGCCGCCAGGGCTCCGTGTGCGCGTCATTTGCAATGTGGAGACTGTTGATCAACTCACTAATTACACTTCTCTCCTCTCTCCCTCCCTCCCTCTCTCTCTCTCTCTCTCTCTCTCTCTCTCTCTCTCCGTCTCCTTTTTTTGCTCCCTCCCTCTCTCTCTCCCCTCTCTCTCTCCCTCGTTCGCCCTCTCTCTCCCTCTGTCTCTCTACCCATTCCCAGAGTGCATATCGGGAAATAGACACACAAAGACATGCGCACTCAACTTAATCAGCCATTTTTTTTAAACAGGGCTAAAACGATAATAATTAGCAGAATAAAGACATATCGGATTTTCATTTCCTTTCCTCCGTTTCCCSAGCCCCGGTCCACAAGAGAAACTGCGAGGCAGCCCGTCGACACGTCGTTTTCAACGCCACCGGAACCAAAATAAGGGATAGCTCTCTCTCTCTCTCTAAAGCGCTTGACATTTGTGATTTTACTCAGTTTTCCCATTTATAAAGTTGGAGGATTATTGTAATTTTCCCCGTTTTTTCTCCCCCCACCCACCTTTTTGTTGTGTAATAACGCAAGCCGCTGGATGTGACTGTTTTTAAAAAACCAAGAGCAAAGAGTGGAGCGGAGGTGACGGTTTTGGAGGGGGAAGAAAGTAAGTTTTTTTTTTTTTCACCTCTCCATTTAACTTTTATTGAGTAGTTTGGGGTGTGTGTGTTAAATTTAGGGGTCGGGTATCGATTATCTATCTCACTGGAAGATCTTTGACACCGGGGCTGCCTGGATAACAGGTGCTGGGTGTTTTTTTGAGTCCAGAACACGGGGGGATACCGTGATGTTAGCGCAGCTCCGCCGCTTTGGCTACAGAAGCACGAGCGGCTGCCGGGACTGGAGGCGTCCTTTTACGCATGAGTCCGTGCTGCTGGAGTACGATACCACGTCCTGGCTTGGCTTTTGCGAAAGTTTACGCGGATTTTGCTCATCCTGTCCGGCGTGCGGAGTCAGTGATCGAGCTTTTAGAGGCTAGAGCCACGGTCTCAGCCACCGTCTGTGTGGCTCTGCGGTGCGGATATGGTCGTTTCCTGGAGTCCGATCTCCTCGGACGTGTCCGCTTCGAGCTCCTTTTCCAGCCGATTCACCCGGCTTGTTGTTGTTTCCCCCCGCTGACTCCCCACACGGGTCTTTAACCCTAATTTAAATAGTTTGGATGCACCGCAGCGCTTCGAAGCCACTTCCCTCCCCCCCCAACAAGTCCGCTTCACGCGCCTTCCGGACGGTTCCCGGCGAGCTGCCGTCCCCTCTCATTTCCACAAGTGGATATATTTGGGAATAAACGTTCGGGGAACCGTCCTTTTCCGATCAAAGATGCGACACACTGTTGTGGTC